CTCCATATTCTCCTCTGAATATCAGACCGCCGCCTAAGAAGTTTCACTTCAAAAACTGATAAAAAGTTTGGCATGTACAGTGTACAGTCGTGAGCATAAAAACTGGGACACCCGTTTTTTCCTATTGTAAAACGAGCTCATCAGCTATACCTATGGCAATGACAGGGATTGTCATATTTGACAAAAAAATCCATTTTAGAGAAAATACTGATTTACCCAAAATAGTGAAAAATGACAAGACCTGTCAGTCGGGTGTCGGGTGTCCCACTTTTCATGCTCACGATTGTATATATTCCAGACCCAAGATTCCTGAAGTTAATGGGTTGCCTGGTAATGGGTAACTTGATGACGCATCTAATCTGGGGTACCTTGGAGATTTGCATTATGTTGAGGCACCCCAGATGACGTCATAAAGTTATCAGGCAACCTAAAAGTCGCGTGCAGCACAGTACACGTGATGGAAGTGAATACTTACTCTCTCTCCCTCATATTCATCATATGCTTCATCTCACTTGCGAGACGAAAATTTTATAAATCGTGTCGTGACGCGACCTTGAAAAATCACTCTCATGCGGCCAAAGAAGTATTCACTTCAAAATGTTCGAAAAAAACATTTCTTCAACATAAGAGCACACGATTCAGAGCTTTGCTGAAATTTGAATAGCAAGCGGAGAATGCGCAGAACGCAGAAGGCAACATAATATAAGTTTGGATTATCCAATATAGGTGCTATATTGTCTATCTCTCTCAAACACGACGCGCTTGCAACAACAAGCTATAGATATAACTACGTCGGTCGTCGGTCTTGACTTTCGAATAGTGAATAGTGGTAGTGGCGCTAGAGCCACTACTGTTACGAATGCCACGTGCCACTGCCAGAGGCTAGTGGTGCTAGTGCAGTGCAATGTGCAACGCAAGAGATCGCCCCGACCATTGGGATTTCGACATCCGGTACGGTGATTTTGCAATTCATTACGACACGTGACACGATCCTAATGTATGTTAATTTTAATTAATCCTCGCAAATAGGGTACGCAAATTTTTGTCTACAAATTTTTCCCAACTTTAAATTTTTTATCCAAGTTTTCCCAACTTTCGGTATATTTCAGGAACCCCCCCATGGCTCCGTCCCTGCATAGATGGCTCAAAAAATTGTAAAAATACTATTCTACTGACTTAGATTTTGTCAACCATTCTACCTGTAAAGGTGAAAGGTGCGGGTAAAAGTTGAGGCACTTGGTTTCTCTGATAGTATTTCTATAATTTCTAGAGCCAAATATGTTGGAGAAGGCTCAACCAAATATAAACTCAGCCGAAAATGAAGTGAGACATCTCGAAATACTACTATATTTCGAAAGCTGTAACTTTTGTAATTTCTTTCCGATGGTGAGTCAAACCAGGGCTGGGAAGTCTAACTTTATACTTTTTTCCGTAGGGGCGGATCCGCTTTTGACCGATGCTTTCTTATATGCAGGGTGCTGAATTTGTCAGTGTGCAAAATTTGAGAAATTCATCATAGAATCTGGAAATAATGAGGCATAGTAAAATGATTCTTTATGTAAAGGGTACCTAGATCACTAGATGGACAACTCTAGACGTTTTTGCAATTTTTATGATATCTTGCGTTGCTATGGAAATATAGCTATTTTTGTCAAATATGATTTTTTGTTTATTCAATTAGGAGTAGGAGAAAAAATTGGAGGAATTAAGCAGAAATAGGACCAAAATGGAACACTTCACTTCCAATAGGTAGGTACCTACCAGGGGCGTGCGTACGGAGGCTTTCATTTTACGAAATTTATGTTTTAAATTTATTTTGGTGCTTGATTAGGAAATAAGGAAGGGGGGATGGGAAAAAAAATAAGTAGCAGTAACGTGCAAGAAGGGGTTCGATTTCTTTGATACAAACAACACAAAAATGAAGAAAATAGGTAGATAAACCAAAACTAATAACTTGTTGGCCCTCCTCTATTTTGAAGCACCTGGGCATGCTAGATTGTAGTGTTCATGAATTGAGCTGGAACTTCCTGCCAGATCTCAATGATGATGGTCTCAAGCTCGTCTAGATTTTCCGGTTGGTGCTTTCTTTTTGGTAGTATCAACTTCATCCAACGCCAGACGTGCTCAATTGGATTCATATCTGGTGATCGGGAAGGAAGTTCCAGTCGATCCTCATTTTATTCTTGCAGATATTCATTAACTAAAATTGCGCGATGAGGCCGTGCATTATCGTCTACAAAAACAAAATTCTCCATAGTTCCTAGCATGCGGAAGGAGACGATAATGCACGGCCTCATCAAGCAATTTTCGTTAATGAATATCTACAAGATCAAAATGTGAATCGACTGGAACTTCCTTCCCGATCACCAGATACGAATCCAATTGAGCACGTCTGGAGTTGGATGAAGTTGGTACTCGCAAAAAGAGATCACCAACCGCAAAATCTAGACGAGCTCGAGGCCATCATCATCATTGAGATCTGGGAGGAAGTTCCAGCTCACTTCATGAACAATTTAATTTCTAGCATGCCCCTCCAGGCTCATCAAAATAGAGGGGGGCCAACAAGTTATTAGTTTGGGTTTATCTACCTATTCTTTCCATTTTTGTTGTGTTTGTTTTTTAGAATCGTTACTCTATTTGGTAATCTTTGTATCAAAGAAATTGAACCCCTTCTTGCACGTCAAAAAAAAACATACATTTCTTAAAATGTAAGCCTCCATCCGCACGCCACTGGTAGATATACCTAACTACTGGAAGTGAAGGGTTTCATTTTGGTATTATTTCTGCCTAATTCCTCCATTTTTTTTTTCATCCTCCTCCTAATTGAATGAACGAATATATAGGAAAAAATCATATTTGACAAAAAGAGCTATATTTCCATAGCAACGCAAGATATCATAAAAATTGCAAAAAAAGTCTAGAGGTGTCCATCTAGTGATCCACCCTATACATAAAAAATCATTTTAGTATGCGTCATTATTTCTAGATTGTTCGATGAATTTCTCAAATTTTGCATGTTGTTTAAATAAAATATATATTTTTGGAATTTTGGATTCGGAAAATTGTTCTCTTCAAGAATATAGAATCAAATATTCGGGATTTCCTTCGAAAAAGTTGAAAGTACGCAAAATTTCGAATTTCTGACAATAATTTTTTGTTTCTGACGATGGATTCTAATATAAAAATTTAGCTAAAGCTGCACAACTTTTGAATTTAGACCATCTACCTGTAAAGTTAAAATGATGCAGGTAGGGGGTCAAAATATAGTGAATAACCATGCACACGATATTTAGGAACATCCTCTAGTACAGGGTGTTTCCGAAAGGGTGTTACAAACTTCAAGGGCAAATAGTATTCATCAAAATAATTAAAAAAGTTCCTATGGATATAGGTCCGGAAACGCTTTTTTTCCAAGATACAGGGTGTTAAGTTTTTCAAAAAAAAAAATAGTCTTTTATTAATAGCCCAAAAGAGCTTTAGCTAATTCCAATGAAATTTTCATGGTTTATTTCAACCAAAATCAGACCTCTACTGGACCAATTAGATTGGATCCAGAATTACCAGGGGCGAAGCCAGCGACCAAGTCGGTTCCTTTTGTGCAGAAAAAAATATCACTTTCTAGTTTTTGTACAATTTTTATTTATTATTCAGATAGACACACTAAAAAACAACATTTTTGTCTCTTGAATTTTTCAATTATCTGACTTAGTTTTCGCGAAAAAAACTACAATACCATACCTCGACACGTCTCTGAACTCCATAAGGAAAGATAAAAATTCATAGGAATTAAGGTACATCCCCCATATTCATTGAATGACAAGGACATAAATTCCATTTGAGGTTTTTTTTTTTGTATTGTTTCCATAACTGCGATAAATTTTTAATCAATCCCTAAGCATTTTTATTTTTTCTTATGGAGTTCAGAGACGTGCCGAGTTATGGTATTGTAGTTTTTCCGAGGAAACGAAGAGAGATACTTGAAAAAGCCAAAAGACAATGATGTTGTGTTTTAGTGGGTTTATCTGAATAATTGATAAAAATCGTACAAAAACTACCTACAGGGTGATATTTTTTTGTGCAAAAAAGCAACCGACTTGGTCGCTGGGTATGCGCCTGGAAATTCTGGAACAAATCTAATTGTTCCAGTAGATGCCAGATAATGGTTTAAATAAACCGTGAGAATTTCATTGAAATCGGCCAAAGCTCTTTTGGGCTGTTAATAAAAAACTAATTTTTTCTTAAAAACTCATCTTGGAAACAAGGCGTTTCCGGGCCTAATCCATAGGAACTTTTTTTCATAAATAGTATCTGCCCTTGAAGTTTGTAACACCCTTTCGGAAACACCCTGTATAAATACAGAGTCTTTCCTAAGTACGGTCCGTAACTTCAAGATGTGATTCGTTACGTAATTTCTGAGATACAGGGCGTTGTTATTTTTAAAACAATTATTATAAGTCAGTACGCTACTGCTTTTTTTAAAGCGTTTGGTATTTTTATAAAATTAGGGAGAAAAATACACGTTTTCTATCTGTCGACTATCTAGCAAAATCCATTTTTTTTTGCACGTCACGCTTATAAATTGATATCAACACCCTGTATCTCAGAAATTACGCATTTCCAGACACATATTTATGAGAATTTTTTTCTTATAAAATATCGTAACGAATCAATTATGAAGTCACATCCGTACTTTAGGAATTTTTTTACCTAGTTAAGCAGTATTTGAAAGATGTCCCTTTTAAAAAGTTAATCATTTAAACGTAGGTTTGAAAGTTGATCAATTTTGAAAATTAAATCCACTTTGGGCAAATTACAAAAATTTTAAGATATATAATATCTTGAAAACGAAGCATTTTGATCGCATATCTATAGGGATTTTTTTTTTAAATAAGAATTTCACCCTGAAGTATGAATAATACTTAGGAATTTCCATGTAGGTAGTAGAATTTTATTTAGATTCCTGTGAATAGAAGTTAAAATGAAACAGAAAAGATTTTAAATATTTTATCAAAATCATTTTAATATCAATAGAAAAATACAAAAATTATTTACATTTCAAATTATTTTCTTTGCATTTCTGAAGTTAATTTCCCTTATCGAAATAATTTTCCATTACTGAGAGAATCATCTTGATCTCACCATCCTTGAGATTTCATTTCTTCAACTTCGCGCATAACATTCATCATGCCTGATTTCCATCCATTGCTGGTGGCACCAACAGTTTCATCTGTGGAGGACTTAATCTTTTGTTTCTTCTGGGTAGTAGTATTCGCTTCCTCGTTGGTAGAGTCTTGGTTTTCTTTTTCGGAAGACCTATAAGATGAACCATAGCTAGAAGAAGAGGAACCATAAGTAGCTGGAGCTTGGTAGGTTGGTTCTGGAGCGCTGAAGCTGTGAAGTGGGGCACTGTAGCTTGGTGTAGGGGCACTATAGCTTGGAGCTGCACCACCATATCCTGAGGAAACAGCACTGTAGGTTGCAGCTGGAGCACTGTAGCTGTGGGTAGAAGCGGGTGCGCTGTAGCTTGAAGCAGAGGCACCATTGCTTGCGGAAGAACCTCCATAGCTTGAAGCAGATCCGCTATTGGTTGAAGCAGAGCCGCCATAGCCTGAAGCTGCTGGGGCACTATAAGTTGAAGTTGAAGCCCCATAATTTGGAGCGGATCCACCATAGCTTGAAGACCCACCATAGATCGGAGCAGAGCCACCATTGTTAGAGGAAGAACTACCATAGCTGGAAGCAGGTCCGCCATAGTTGGTTGCAGAACCGCCATAGGCTGAAACTGCTGGGGCACCATAGCTTGAAGCTGCTGGGGCACCATAGCTTGAAGCTGAAGCGCCATAGCTTGAGGCCATACCTCCGTAACTTGAAGATCCACCATAGACTGGGGCGCCATAACTTTGAGCTGGGGCACCGTAGGTTTGTGTAGAAGCAGGTGCGCTGTAGCTTGGAGCAGAGCCACCGTGGTTTGAAGCAGATCCGCCATAGCTTTGAGCAGAACCGGCGAAGCTTGAAGCTGCTGGGGCACTATAGGTTGACGCTGAACCGCCATAAGTTTGTGCCGGACCACCGTAGCTTGAAGATCCGCCATAGGTTGCAGCAGAGCCACCATTACTTCCGTAGCCTGAACCTGAAGATCCGCCATAGGTTGCAGCAGAGCCACCATTACTTCCGTAGCCTGAACCTGAAGATCCGCCATAGGTTGCAGCAGAGCCACCATTACTTCCGTAGCCTGAACCTGAAGATCCAAAGCCATCTGACATGTATGAAGAACCTTTATGTGCAGAGCTATAACCGGCAGGTGCACCAAAGGACATAGCTTGGTTGAACAGACCATAGGAGTGAGGTCTCATGTAACCACCGCTGGCAGATCTGTAGGAAGAACCACCTCCATAACCACCTCCAAGGCCGCCTTTGTGTCCGCTGCCATGGCCGCCTCCATAACCACCTTGAGCGTGTCCGGCTATGTTTGGTTGACAGGTTATAACTAAGCCATGATGACCTCCTCCGTAACCTCCTGAAGAACCGCCACCATAACCAGCACCAGAACCTCCACCATAGGCACTTCCAGAGCCACTACCAAATCCGCCTCCGAAGCCACCACCAGATGCGCCTCCGTAGCCACCACCATATCCGCCTCCAAAGCCACTACCATATCCGCCTCCGAGTCCACTTCCAGATCCGGCTCCGTAGCCTCCACCGGATCCGCCTCCATAGCCTCCACCGGATCCGCCTCCATAGCCTCCACCGGATCCGCCTCCATAGCCAGCTCCATGTAGGCTGCCATAGCTTGGAGCGCCATAGCCAGCTTTTCTTGATTTTTCAGCGACTTCAACGACACCAGTTTCATCGTTGTTCAGCTTGCCATCGGGTTTCATCAGTTCAGCACCTAAGGCTAAATGAGCCAGGAAGACCCCACAAATACAGAGGGTGTTGAGAACCCCCATAATTGTATTGACTGTGTAACTGGTAATGGATTAATGATATCGTACCTATTGAAATCTCGAGTATTTATAGTCAGCGGGCGAATAATGCGAACGTTGCAATATTGCAATGTTGCATATTTGATGAATCGTAACCTATTTCAAACAATTAGTTAATTTTTTTTTCGACAAAATTTATAAATGTTTGCGAAAATTCAACTTTTTAAATCCGTAACTTTAAATATTTTTGCATTGTTCAATAATTAGAAAGCTTGATAAACTTTTTTTTCTAAAAAAAATTGGCATTTTTAATATCAATCTCAAACAATAACTTTTCTGCTTGTTTTTGGTCTTAGGGAGAATGGCGATAGTTTAAATTACATATGCAAGAAAAAACTAACGCCAAAGTTCATATTTTTGCGATAGTTTAAATTACATATCCAAGAAAAAACTCACGCCAAAGTTCATATTTTTGGAGGTTGATATTAGTAATATTTCTTTCCTAATCTGCTGGGGTGACTTTTTTTTCAAGGCATAGGGCTTTCTTGAACCGGGCTGCAACCAGTAGTGAAGAAACTTTTTTATTTACACCTTCCTCCAATTACTGAAGGTTTACAATATTATTTATCTAAGCCTAATATAGGTACTTATGCATGATTTTGATTGTGAGTTTTTGATACTCAGCGTGAAATGGACAGCATTGTCCGTCAATGATTAACTAAATAGTGGTAATAATCAAGAAAATTAAACCTATTTTTAGGTTCTATTCACCAGGAGATGAAATGCTGAATACTAAATTGACTGAAATCAAAACGAGGAATCCGGAACTAATGTAAGTATCGCTGATTTTTTTATTTAACAAGAAAAAAATCATATTTCGATCTCAGAACAATTTAAATATTTTTTTTTTGCTTGTTTTTGGTGTTAGAGAGCATGGCGACAGTTTAAATTACATATCTAATAGAGAAAAGCTGACGCCAAAGTTCATATTTTTGGAGGCTGATATTAGTATATCCTTCCTAATCTGGTGGTATGACTTTTTTTTTCAAGACTATAGGGCTTTCTTGAACCGGGCTCAACCAGTGATAATCAAACTTTTTTGTTAAGACATTCCTTCTATTGCTGAAGGCTTACAAAATCTAAGCCCAATATACCTACCTAAGCATGATTTTAATTTTGAGTTTCTGATTGATTGATGGACAGCATTGTCCGTCAATGATTAAATAAATAGAGGTAATAATCAAGAGAATTAAATTTATTTTTAGGTTCCATTCTTCAGAAGATACAATGAACAGTGAAATGATTGAAATCCGAACAATAAAGAGTCCGGAACCAATGTAAGTACCGCTTATTTTTATGTAACAAGAAAAAAATCATGTTTGGCCTTGCTGTTATCAAAAATAAAATCGCCAAAAATCTTTAGTTGTTTTCACCTTTGTAAAATGGGCATCTTTATGTTATCGTCTTTTTTACATAGATTTTGGTTGAAGAAAATAGGGCAGCTATTAATTAGTTTTTCAAATTCATATTTTTGGAGGCTGATATTTACTCCAGTACATCTAAGTTTGTTTGACCCGGAACAAAATCCCCTAAAGCTGAAAATTGCTGGATTATTAGGCCTTGGGGTGCTTTTTAACATACTTAAAGTCCCCGCCCCTGCGGGGGTAGCAACCCTCCCAAAAACCACCCCAAAGGTACATTTTTTCACCTTTTTAGGAATATCTTCTTTATTTTAAGCTTTTAAGGAAAAATACTTGATATCAAATTTGAAGCTTATGAAATTTTCTACGAAACAGTGTATATATAGTTTAAATTAACTTAAGTCAGTGCCGTCCTACAAGGGGTTGAAGTAGGCAAAAATACGAATTTGTTATAACAAATCTATAAAAGTAAGGAATGTAGCTAACGTTTGTTGTATGTTGAGGAATCCAAAATGAAATTCTAGCACTAGGATCTAAAAAGTGAAATATGATAATATGTACATTGAATTAATACTTATTGTGTCCAAGTAAACTTGCGAGATAACTTTCCAAATTCTTTGAAACTCATTGTATATGAGAGTTAATTTAAAAAATCGTTAAAGCCAAAACGCATAATGTGATAAACAAGGTGTACGGAAATTTCCATATACCTAAACAAAATAATGAGTGCATAAAAATCACAGATTAGCTTTTCTAGGAAGCAGTCGGTAATAATTATTATTGGCACTTGCATTTAATAGCTACCTAGTTTTGTTTTGAAGATAAGAAAAATTAATCAGTCTAATGGGAAAATAAACCTCAACAATTATTGCAAAATAGGTCTTATAGATTTCAGTATGTAATTTGTTATAATTTTCTTCAAAAATTCAGAGGATACGACTTTTGTGCACGATGATATTTTTCAAACAATTGACTACAATTTTTCCAAACGAGGAGAGATAGGTACGAAGAAAATCGGAAAAAATATTTTAAGTGGTTTTACAAAAAAATGCAAAAAATCTACTGAAGGTTCTGAAGCACATTTTTTTTCTCAATTAAATGAATAAATCATTTTCATATAAAGATATTTCGGAATAAAAAAAGAGACATTTATTAAGTATCCAGATGAAACTTGGATAAACCCAGGACATATGCTGGTGAAAAAAATTTGGAAGGCTATAAATATCTACAATAAGTTCTTGGCAAGCTCATTTAGAAGGCATCTCTACAAAAATAAAACCTCTTGCTGAAAACGGAAGTATGTAGATTAATTATCTCCCATTTTGACAATGAATAGGGATTTATCAAAGGTGGCTTGTTAATATTTCAATCTTAGCACAATGCTGAATGATTTCAAGGAATATTTCGAGAAGATACTGGAATTGATTCCATCAAGCTCTGTTAGTGAGCTTGATTTGATAATGCATTTTATCGGTCAAGAACAACAGTTCACTCTCAACTAACAAATGCGCAACTTTCATTAAACTGAATGACTTTATAAAATGTAATAATCACTTATCACTTCTTCTTAGCTTCATACATTAATTCTCTTATTTAATCTGGATTGCAACTCACAAACTGCGCGCTTTATGTATACAAAATCAATCAGGGTATCTCCTATAGTCTTCAATATGTTCACCCTGATTGACATTGTTCGAAATTGCTCAGATACTATCTTCTACAGCAAATAATTTTTTATCATTATATTAGAAGAGCCCTGTCTCTTCTTGTAAGGGTTTTTTATTTGAATTTCAATAAATTCGCTATTCCTATGATTTCCTGTTTTATGTCATTACAATTATTAAAATAATGTCACGGATTTTGGTAGTCAACTTAAAATACTTGTTTAACTTTTATACCAGTCGTAGGCGAAGTAGAGATATTTCCTAATTTCGAGTCACATTCCAGATTTTTATCCTTATTATTAGTTTATGTACCAGACAGCACAGAGGCAAAACGCCCCTTAGGTCGTGTTTATGTTGGAGCTGTGATACACGATAAAAGCAACGATACTAATGTATAGTATCATAAGTATCGTTGCTTCTATCGTTTATCACAGCTCCAACATAAACACGGCCTAAGACAAACGACATTCAAGATGTCTCATGCTACTTACGTCTTTAAGGTGTCTTAAAGACATTTTGAAGACTTCGTATGTTACAAAACCCAACGTCTTTCAGACATCTGCCTAAAGACGTCTTCAGGACTAATAATTCATAATTATTATTCAATTTAGAACTTTCAATTTTTGTCCATTCCAAACGGTAGCCTCTTAGATTCTTGATTTCTTGTAAACGAAAACATACACAAAATTCATTTTGGAAGAAAATACATTAGAAGAGCCCAACGCTGCAGTTTGACCTGAAAATAAATAATTATTGTTAATTTTTTTTATTTGCGCTATATAACTAAATAATATTACCTATTGCTTTTCGTCCAGACTCCTCTTCTTTGTAAACATTGCTACAAGAATCACCTTGGCATTGAGCAAAAACTGTCTTCCGGCCTCTATAATTGAATCTGTATCTGCATTTGGTTCGAAAAATATGTCTACTTTTTGCTGCAGATCTTCGCTTTTTTCTCATAGTTTAATACAGGTCAGCTTTCCCTTCGTAAATAAAGCAGAAGTAGTGTCACATTCAGATATAGCATGACAGAACAATATGTGTTTTGGCTATTGGGCCTAGATTATCCTGAGGTTTAATAATTTCAGTACTTTATCAGGTTTTGTAGAACTACCTACTAGGTCGTAACATATAAAAGTTGTCGCATTTAACTTTAAATATAATTAAATCGGTATCTTGACCCACTAGAGTTACAGTCACAGAGTTCTGAGTGCTCCTCAATTCGACTGACTTGTTTACTATAAGATTATCGGCGTCACCTTCTGCATGAAGTATATACCTACCTACCGAATTTTTGTGGATGCTTACGCTCACTAAGTTGTAATATAAAACGTTATTTATTGCTTTTGTTATATATCTGGATGTGACACCTACTTTTGATTTATTCAAGAAGAGAAACCTGACCTGTTTTAAACCATCAGAAAAAGGGGAGGATCTGCAGCAAAAAGTAGACATATTTTTAGAACTAAATGCAGATACAGATTCAATTATAGAGGCCGGAGAACAGTTTTTACTAGCTTTCTATGGTGCTAATAAAAAATGCAAAAGTCTAGATAACCTGTGATATTTAAATATACGAGCACGACTGCGAGACAAGTACTGAATGAAAACTTTGAACTTGCTTGCTTACTTCCAACATCTGACGCTGCTGCCTACCATTTCAAACGAGTTAATCTTCAAATTCAGAACTGGGTTGGTAACACAGCTATATCATCAAACCAATGGGGATGGAAACGACAGAATAATATCTGGAAACCAGTGACAACAGAAAAAGCAATAACACCGAACTTTATTTTAAAACCAGTATTCTGCAACTGTAAAGCAGATAGCAGAAACTTCTGCAGCTGTAGAAAAGCAAATATGAACTGCTCCAGCTTGTGTGGTCAGTGACAAAGTAATTCTTGTAGCAATGTTTACAAAGAAGAGGAGTGTTTGGACTAAAAGCTATAGGTTGGTA